GGGTGTACATACACCGACACCAACCAAGGATCTTCAAGCTTAGAAAATAATTTCCTAACCTTAAAAACACCACTATTAAGTCAGATACTATTATTATTTCCATGTGACAATGAAGGAATTGAAGCTTAGGGAGGTAACCTTGCCCAAAACACAAAATTAGTAAGTAGTAAAGCAGGGACTCCAGGTATACTAAGATGCTCCGACACCTCTCCCCCCACAAGGACTGTTTCCCAAACTCACAATTTATAAACAAATTATCTGGAGGAGGGACTACACAGTAGCATCTACAAGACTGTAGGTAACACAAACCTGTTCTTGGAAGAAGGAAGCCAAGCCAATAAAGACAAAAATTCTAAATGGCACTGGCAGATGGGCTCCACTAAGGGAGGCCAGGTACTAGAAGCACAACTCTGCATGACTAATTGGCACCAAGAAAAGGGTGCTTTTGTGTGTGTTTTCTTTTCTTTTTTTAATTTAAACAGAAAGTTACCCAATAAGAAAAATAGAAACTTTCAAAGTGAGCAGTTAAGTGAGAACTGAAATTAAACGGAACAAAAATAATTTCAGAAGCATTTTTTAAAAGAAATACTAAGTCAATTACAAAAGGATCCTTAAATCAAAAGCAGTAAGTCAATGAGTCTACTTAAGGTACAAAGGAAGCACTCAGATGAAACAGAAAAGCAGACAGACGGAATCCTTTACGGAACCTTTACTGAAGAGATAATGGAGAAATGACATTCTCAAGTCATCCTTTAAAGTAGACACGTCAGGAGAACAAAACTAAACAGTGGCAAATGCACAGGATAGTCTGGACTTAATGAACAGATTCAAAGACAGAGAAACCAGGGTGGCTTGAACGACATTTATCTTACAGACTGGAAGGAATAACACTGGAACCATGGGCCCCACCCCTTGGCAGGAGACCTGAGGGGCTGCTAAGGAGTCAGCCTGCCACAAGGATTCTGATAGGTTTCCAAAGTATCCAGGCAGGAGGGTCTCACCTTCACATCTGGCACTGTGGGTGAGGTCAAACACAGCACAAAAAGCCTCACTCAGTTTTGGCATAGTCCAGATGCTCATTAAATGCCACCTTTTCTTATTATATGGTCACTGGACATTTAATCTACTAAAGAGTGATATTTATTGACCGAGTAAGTATGTGCCAAGAACTCAGCTAGGAGCTTTACATATCTATTTTAAACAGTGTGAGTAGATATAATTATCTCCATTTTACAAATGAGAAAACCAATACTCAAAGGTTAAGCGGTTCTTCCAAGGTCACAGCTAGTTAGTATCAGAGGTAATCTATTCATGTTCTTGGTGGCAGTGGTAAAATGATGGTACATATAAATTCAAAATGGATAAAAAAGAATCACTGCAAAGGATTTATTTTTTTTTAAGTCTTAATAAGGACTATAGAAATGTATTTTTTAAAACCATATCACTCCAGATTAGGTAAAAAAAATTTGATATAATGAGCAAAAAGATTGACAACTATATAATGGGGAAACCAAAGGAGGTATGTGTACTTCTCCTAGACCCACCCCTCATGATGTTTCCCAGATTCAAAGTGTATAGGCAAATTAAGTGGAGGACGGAGTACACAGTAGCATCTCCAAGACCGCAGGTAACACAAACCTGTTCCTGGAAGAGGGATGCCAAGCCTTAAGAACAAAGAATCTAAATGGCAGTGGCAGATGAGCTCCACTAAGGGAAAAATACACCCTGTTCTGCTATAACAGTTGCATTCCTGGGGAACTTTTGCTCTACATTATCAGAAAAGAAGTCAGAGACAAGTGTTTCAATTAAAAAAATGGAGTTCTGGTTAATAGGTTTCAGCATGCAATAACAAGGTTATTTTCCTACAGGAATTTTAGTTTAAAAAAATATAGCAGTGTTAATAGTTGTCAATGCATTTTGTTACTGTGAACTAGAGTAACAAAATGGCTGAGGGACACAAACCCAAATGCTTCCTTGCTTATTCTTTAATCCATGCACTCAAAGCTTCAGTCTTCTCCATTATCTTCTGCTTTAACTTCGCGTTTCTGCTTCTAGCATAGTTTATAACCACCAGTGGTGACATTACACAAAACAACTATCTCTCTCTCTAAACACAAAGCCTAACTGCTGATTGTTATACCTGACAGTAGTCAGTACAACACAAGTTAATTATATTACATTCAATTTATAACATGAACACTTATGATGTAGGAGAAATGCCTATACAGGGTGGGCAAAAGTAGATTTTACAGTAATAAGTACATAAAGCACAGTGTTTATTCTTGTATTATATTTTTTCATACAAACTGTAAACCTACCTTTGCCCACCCCTGTATAAGCAACTATATTAAAGGTAAATAATATTAATTACCCACAAGAATAAAGGGGCTCCGGCCTGGCGTGGCTCAGCAGTTGAGCACTGACCTAGGATCCACGAGATCATGATTTAATTCCTGGTCAGGGCACATGCCCAGGTTTCGAGCTTGACCCCCAGTTGGGGCGATGCAGGAGGCAGCCGATCAATGATGATTCTCTCATAATTGATGTTTCTCTCTCTCTCTCTCTCTCTCTCTCTCTCTCTCTCTCCCCTCCTTTCCCTTCCTCTCTCTGAAATCCATAAAGTTATATTTAAAAAAAAAAGGATAAAGGGGCTCCAACATATGCTAAAATTCAGAAAAGGAATGTAAGGCTTGCTGCAGATAACTCAGAAAATGTCATCTCCTTGTACACTGCTGTAATCAGAGGACCAAAGAGTACATGGTATCATCAAAATTAAAACAGGCAATATCAGACTCAAGAAAGAAAAGTGACTCAATTCAAAGTTTTCTCAAGTAAAGGAGACAGGAGAGCAAGGGTGTTGGTCTCCCCAAGGCCTTCACCACTGAACCAATGGAGAAATCAGTTAGGAAAAAAAATTACTTACAGGATCCAAACCTTCTTTCTCTAGTTTGGCTTTCTCTAAGTAGTAACTCCTTTCAGCCACGCTGAGAAGCCTCCAACTCTCGCTAATCTTCTTATTGATCTCAGACTGTGGGAGGTGTGGGAGCTCCTGCTGCACTTTCAGGTAGATGTCATAATAGTACAGAAGGTAAGCCGACCTGAGGAAGCAATGCCTTCTTAAGGTTTTCCCTCATTCAACCAGTAAATACTGGTGGTGAAGAAGTAGATACAAAACTCAGCTTTTCATTTCAAAGCATTTAACTAGATAAGAACTGGAGCAAAGAAACATTTAAATAACACCCCCAGATGGTGTATCAAAGGTTTCTCTCTTCAGAAACCTGGAAGCAAAGGCTTGTCTGGCTTACTTCCATGGACCACCGTTTCTGGAGGGATGACTGGCTTTAAAACCAAATATGAGCAAAGACAGATTCAAGTACCCTGCCACTCCACTCTCAGAAAGGTACTTGGGGGGCTGATTACATAGTCAGGTTACCACTCACACTCTTTACAGACTTTGGTCATCTGACTGGTCAACTGCACTTCACCAAGGCTGAGAGTGGGAAGCAAACAGAACTATCAAAGTGACCCAATGCTGGTGGCCACAGAGAGAAATTAGGAGTGTTCACAGTTAAGAGGGAGGACAGAGCTATAATTTGGATAGTTTTTATAGGTATCTTCGGTACTATTTATAATTCTACATTTTTATTAATGCTCTATTTTAAATATTTAAATACTAACAATGGTAATAATAAATAACATAATTATTTTGTACAGTAAGTATGCCCTAACAGCATTGACAGGTTCTTGGAATTGTGGCAAAACAACATATAACGAAACCTATTTTACCATAGGCTAATTGATATAAACAAGTGTTAAGTCTCTATGGCATCCCATCAATATTTCAAAGAAATGACACTAAAAAACTGATGTTATTGGAGGACCTGCTGTACATAGCTTCCATTATTTGTATGGTACAATTTCCTCTGACAGCCTGGAAATGTGACCAAAATCTGGCCAGGAATGGCAACTGCTGGCATCAATCTCCCACTTACCACTGCCCATCTTCCTCTCCCCCTAACCCCAAAGCCTATGCAGAGATTTCAACTGACACGGGACCCAGTAAATCTGGACATGGCTTTAAAGTCCTCCTCATTATAGCTCTCTAGCAGCTACTGTTTATAAATGCCAGCTACCAAAACATGTTGACTAACCTGGGTTTCTTGGCCTTTTCTCCATGTATTTTATACTTTTTTTTCTTCTTGGGTGGCCCAGGGGAGGTATAACAGTAGGATTCCTCAATTTCCTCCATCACAACAGTTACCTCAGTACCATCATATGATGCATCCATGGCTAGAAGACAGTCAAACACAAAATATATTTCAAGAATTCACCCTAAAGGGAACAGCAAATGATTCCTTATCTCTGCCAGGGCCTTAAGGCTGAGTCATTTCCCAAACTCAGCAGGTCCTAAGAAGTACCTGGAGGATACTTACTAGACACAGATTTCAGGATTCCTCCTGACCTTCTGAATCAGCATCTAGTCTAAAGGGTATGGAAATCTGCATACTTAACAAGTGCCCCAGGTGATTCCTTTGACCAGCCAAATGTGGGAACATTAGCTTAGCCCTCTGGAATATACTCACACATGGGATACTCACAGTAATCCTTCGGCTCAAAGACTTTAGTCCCACATTACAAGAATTCCATATGGTAACAGGTAAAAAGAATACTTGGCCAGAAATCAGAAGTTCCCTCCCTCATGTTTCACCACCTTAAGCAATCTGCTTCATTAATTCACTCAGTCATTCATTCAAACATGCATTAAGTGCTTATAGATGAGAGATTTCTTTATACTCTGCCAACGTGTATGACTTTGGGCAGGTCCTTTAGCTGCTTTAGGTTCAATTTTTCTCATGGATTAAAAAAAAGGGATGTCACCCACTTTACCATAGATTTTTAGTGGCAAGGTTCAAGGATATCATAGACATAACTCTATTTGAGAATCGTGGAGTGCTATACAAAAGGAAGGGTTCATTATGAAAGATGAATAATCTTTGGCTGAGATGCTTAATGACCTGCCCAAGGCCACCATAGCAAATAGGGACTTGTCTGACAGATTTTTTTTTTAAATTCAAAAATCCAACTCTCTGAGCCTTATTTCATTATACTACACTGCTACCCATCTCCACTGGAACCCTCTAAACCAGCACAGTTCAATAAACTTTCTGTGATGACAGAAATGTTCTATTATTTGTGCTCTCCAATATGGTAGCCACTTATTGCTAATGAGTACCTGAAATATGGCTGGTGTGATTAGGAACTGAATTCATTTTAATTGTAATTAATTTAAATAGCTACATATGGCTAGTGGCTATGGCACTGGACAGCACAGGTGTAGACAGTAATCTGACAGACCAACATTAGCTCTCTGCCACTGGCCTAAACAATAGAAAATCTAACAGCCTTTCCTAGTAAAAGAAAGGCATGCAGCAGTTGAATGAGTTAGTTGTGGCCACATTCTAAGTTGGAGTTTAACCCACGAGACTCAATCCTTGGAGGGAGAAAGGTTCCCAAAAACCATGTGAATTTTATGTGAAAGAAATAACATGCTTGCTCCTAAAAATCTGTCAATTTTGGGAGAGAATTTAGGATTCTGGGAAGAGGGAGCTGTGGTATACACAGGGCTATCTGTGTATCACAAAGCCCACTCACATCTCATTCAGACCTCACTACACAAATGATAAGGTATCTTACAGGGTATAAGGAGAAAAAGAACACAGCATGTTGAATCAGGCGACCTGGATCCAACTCTAAATTCTAACCACATGATCTCTGTAAATTTCAGTTGTTCCTCAAGTGAGACAAAGAGGCAGGAATCAATGGCTCCTAACTTTTTGGGAGGCAGGAATCCCTTTGAGAATGTTGTGAAAGCTAAAAATCCTTTCCTAGAAAAGGCAGGCAAAAAGTATTTCACCTATACTTTTAAAGACATACTCCAGGATAAGAACATATTATTCTATTCCCAAAGTTATTTCTAGTTCTGTGTCATCTCTAAATAATTTCCTTTCCCATCTAAAACACACACACACACACACACACACCCCTCCATTCTGTCAATAGTGCCACCCTGCAAGAGAACATAACACACAATTTGGCTGGGTACGTATGAGTAAGGGAAGCTAGTGTTCAAATCAAGGCTACGTGGGGCCTGTACTTTTTTAGTCTTAATAACTGATTTCTCAGTCCTTCAAACTGGTCTTGCAGAGAAAAGCATAATTGCAGGAGAGCATCTACAAAGAATGGCATATAGGATTTTAGCACCCAGAGCCAAATGAGTTAGGAAACAAAACCATTACAACCACTTTGGGGTGGGGACAGAAAGAGACTAACCTGGGTTTTTGTCTGTCTGACTACCCTATTTTAGCCTGGGTCCAAGATTGTTTTCAGATCCTAGGCCTCAGGACAGCAATGCCCCCCC